AACATCCAATTCACTAAGAAATCCATAAATTCACAATAAAACAACAAGATCCCACTCTATAGCCACAAAATATTAGTAAAATTAGAATTATGGCTACTGCCAGACACATCAAAGATATGGGGAATCGAGGACCCTCATGCACTGATGTGGGAGTATAAAACAGCTCAGCACCTATGGAGAGTACTTCAGCAGCATTTCGTAAAAATGGGTATACTGTGGCACTCTATTACCCACCCATCCTACTCCTAGGTACAGTATATACCCTTAGAGTGGCAAAAATCGTTCTCAAACTTTCCCCTGCCTCAGAATTTCCAAGATGGGCAGGTTAAAATACAGATTAATGGGATCTACCCCCAGGGTTTCGGACTCAGGAGGTCTAGAATCTGCATTTCTAACAAGTTCCCCAGGAGACAGTGATGCAGCTGTGTGTAGACCACACTTGGAGAACCATCACTCTAGAAATACTCTCACACACATCATTAAGAAAACAGAAGATGCTCATTATAGCACCTGTGGAGATAAGCATCCAGCACTTGGAAAATGGGTAAGAAAATGTAGTAGACGGCCGGGAATTTAGCTCAGTGGTTCCACCGCCTGCCTCACAAGCACAAGGTCCTGAGTTTGGTCCCTAGTACAAAAAAAAAAATATATAGTAGATACTTATCTGACCAGCCCTACAAAGCAGCAGCCATAGCCATGCATCTGGATAAACCTGTAACAGCATGAATCTCACAAATAAAATGTTGAGAAAAAGTCTGTCAATTTTCATGAATGTCTGAAAGTGCTGAATGAAAAATGAATGAAATTTATAGCATAGTTCCACTTATGCAAGTCAAAAACACAGAAGTAGGGGCCGGGGATGTAGCTCAGTGGTTCCAGCACCTGCCACGCAAGCGGAAGGACCTGAGTTCAATCCCCGGTACCAAAAAAAAAAAAAACCACAGAGGTACTCAATATCTTTAATAAGAATACATACATACCTAAGGACATATGTAACACAGGAGAGAAATCTCCTCTGACAGAGGAGGGAACCAATCTGGTGCCAAGAACAAGGTATGTTCAGTTGATTCTCAGTACCAGAAGTCTAAAAGGTAAAAACCACCAAGTTCCCTAAATCCTTACTCACTTGCATTCTCAAGCAATAGCTCAAGGCCCCAGGAACTTGGCATCATTAAAGGTCAGATCAACTGGCCACTGAAAATAAAGGGGAATCTCTCTGAAATACAAACCTTGGGTGATTTCAATCCCCTAGAATCCAACCTGTACCTGAGACCTAATTTCCCTCTTTGACATATTAATTTCTAAAGAAGTTGAGATACTTGGCTTTTGGCAAAGGGTGTGCGTCTTTTGAGTCCTGTTCCTCAACTCACCCCCACCCCATGTATGACTTTGTGTCTGTTCATCTGTATGTGTATCTCTCAGTGTTTGTTTATATATATTTGACATGTGGTGTGCTTGTATATGGAGATACAGATTTGGGGCAAGGCAAAGCATTCTATCTGAGACTAAGTCATATTTGTTCATCAGCCAGTGAATTTGGCTTTACTGAAACAGGAAGTCATTCACAGTCAGTTACAAAACCAAGATATCTCCTAGCTCCCCACCCTCTACTGCCTTCACTTTTTTTCACTCTCTGCTCCTCTACATCCAATACTGCCTCCCACATCCAACTTGACTGATCCAAAATATGGCCTATTTGTGATTAGGTAGCTTAATTAAGGTAACAAACTTTACAGCTGAGTTCTTGGAAATATAGTTAAGAGACAAGAAATAAGCATTTCTGTTCCTGCCCCAAAGCCTTTAACAGAAAGCCAAAATCTTTGGCATACCATGAACATTCCTCCAGAAGAGACTGTTTTGACTGCAACTACCATCTAAAAGAAGCAAAGACAAAGCCATTCACTATCTGCCATGTCCACACTAAGGCACACTGGCCTCTGTGTTTTCCATGGGTCACTGACCACGTAGTCATATAAAGTGATAGGTAAGTATATGGGACATAAAGAAATTAAAACCACCACTGACTGAATTTATGTGAGAAAATGCACAGATCCTTCTGGCTGTAGCTTTAAATAAACAAGCCCATGCCAGGAAAGTATGTCTTTGGGAGAAAAAAAATAGCTAAACTAGAGAAAGTAACAATACCAAAATAAAGGACAGAAGAGTGAACCTATACTTCCCCCCAGAAACCGGAGAGCAATTATCCCTGTGTGCAAACAACCCAGAATTTTTATTCTCAAACAGTTTTATTCTTTTCAGCAGCACTTTTCATTGGATGGTAAATGTTAGGACTTTGACAGTTTTTCTGAAATGTTTTGTAGCAAATGAAGTTTTAAAAATTAAAGCATGTTTGGCCAGGCATAGTGGTAAACAACTGAATCCCAGCATTCAGGAGGCTGAGGCAGGAGGATAACTTCAAGTTCTAGGCCAGCCTGGACTACCCAGTGAATTCAAAGCCGGCCTAACAGGCTGGGTATTTAGTTCAGTGGCATAGCGCCTGTCTGGCAAGTGTGAGGTCCTGAGTTCGATCCCCAGTCTCAAAAAAAAAAGTGTGTATATATATATATATATATGGACATATGAGATGCACCAGCAGCACTTTTTAGTTTACAAAAACTGACCAAGTAATATAAGAATCCTTTAGATTTTTATGAGATAGGCAAAGCATACCCATTTTTCTGACTCATGTATAGGAACTGCTACAATGTAAAAATAAGGGCTTTAACAAAATTTACAAATTAAGAAAAATAAAAGAACTGTATTTTCAAGGTAAAGTTGAATGTCTATAGTCAACACAGGCAATCATGACTATGAAAACATACAAAGTTCCTTCAAGTGTCAAAGTACATAAACACTGTTGTATATTTTACTCTAAAAATGTTGAAGGTAGAACTCCATTTACAGGTGAAAACAGGTAAGAACTAGGAAGAATACTGATATGCTCTTCCACTGTGAAGAACTTGGGAGAATTTCAGCTGAATAAACATATATGAACACCACAAGTCAGGTACTGCACAAGATGCCAGGGATACACTAATGAATAAGACAATGCTTTAATAAATGTGTCCCTTTAATGCCAATTTAATCCATACCTTGAATTAATTTTTTAATGTTCCCAGATATTTTAAATAGCTATCAGCAATTCAGAGTTGTAAAAATATATTTTACTATTTTATTAAAAATATAAATTTCTAGTCTCTGAAGCAGAAATAGAAGGGAAAGGCTATCTGTGAAATAACTACTTAAACTACATGATAGCAGCCGCAACCTCCTGCTATCCAGCATGTCTGAGAGATGGAGAAACAAGCAAACTGGAAGGACTAGGGCCTCTACACCTGACCATGAAGCAAGATATGGAAAGTGAGCTGCTATAGGCAGAAGGCAGCTCCTGGAGGTTCCCCCAAAGCTAGTACCTACGACAGCAGGCACAGGCTCTGCTGCCTGCCTGTTTGGCCAAGACATGGCTTCAGAGCTGGAAGGAAGCCACCTGCTGAATCACCAAACATCCCTGGGCTTCCCTTGAAGCACTGACCAGACAGGCACCCATCCCCCGACGGCTTCTCTCCTGGACATGTTACACACAAACCAATGAAACAACCAGCCCTCTCCTCTTCTACACAAGCCACAGCTGCAACCGCCAACCCTATTAAGTCTAAGCAACTCCTTTCTTGTTCCGACGTCACCAGTCCCACTCTTCTCTTTCTGCCTACTCAGTCCTTCTTGAACGTTCAAGCCCCAGTGCCAGAAGGCGTGGGGAGTACACAGCGCATCAGAAGGGACATTCACCACTAACACAATCAGGCAGCCAAGGAGAAACACCCTCAATCAGAAAGCAAAATAACCTGTCCAAATAGCTTAAAGGCCCAGGCAGGTAAATGTCAGGAGAGCTAAAATAGTTGGCCGGTCCAGTAACACAGAAAATAAACTTCCTTGTCAGAAAGCAGCCTTCCGTCTTGGTTTCACAAGCATATGGCCCTGAAGTCTGTACTGTCTGAAGGTGAAAAGAAACATCTGAGAAGCACCTGCCCGGATTCGCTTCATTCCCTCCATCTATGGCAAGAAACCTTCATCTCAATCTTTACTCAAAGAGGGAACAAGCGTTACCCACAGCACGCCAGGCCGAATTGTTAGCTGAACCCTGACACCTTATCCAACCCAAAAGATGAAGGTTCAGTCCAGAGGTGAGTTAAAACGGTGGGAGAGGCTGCCGGCGTAGCTGCTTTGCCCTTGACAAGTCGCTTTGGCATCGCGCAGACCCCTCGAGGGGTCCCGCATCGCGGAAGAACAGCAGCGTCCAGACGGGACCTCCAGTCCTGGGCTGTCCCGCTGGCCCCTCCAGGCTTCCCCTCTGGACGCCCCACCCGGCGGGGCAGCCCGGGGTCTCAGCAGCCGCCAGCCCTGGGGCTGGTGGGAGGCCTGGGGAGAAGGAGCTCGTATTCGGGGAAGGGGGTCCCACCTGCTCCGTCGTCGGGGACATCGAGGGTCCGCGGTGGGGGATCCCCGAAACCGTGGCCGCCTGGCCAGCTGCGACGTGGCCTGCAGGTACCATGTGTCACGGTGCTGCCCCGCTGTGGGGGTAGGGCTGCATCTGAGGGTCGGCCCCTAAGCGTCTCACGCCACAACCTCGAAGCTCCTCGCCACCCACTCCTCCGGCCCCGCCACCGTCGCTCGCCCCGACAGAACACCCGGCAGCCTTCCAGACGACACCCAGCACCTCAGAAGAGGTGGCCACTGACGCCTCCGCCTTCCTCCCCGCCCCAACTTGGCCGAGGCTCGGACGGCGGCCCGCCCCCCCACGCCGACCCTCGGCTAGGGACAGCGCCCGGGAGCGCCCGCCAGGCACGCGAGCGACACCGCGCCGGGTGCGCTCACGCCCCCTCGCCCGGGCTGCCCGCCGCCCCCCGGGTCGATCCCGGCCCGCGCCCGAGACGGGCGTCCCCTCATCCCATCCCACCTCGGCTACCCCGAGACCGGCTCCTGGCCCCCGCCCCGCGACTCACTAGCGCCGGAGTCGCGGCAGCCGCCGGAATTCAGCTCGCTAAGCCCCGCGCCACGGAACGAAATCCGGGGCAGTGCCGCGTCGAGGTTCCGCGCCCGATCGCGCTCTCCGGCTGACTTGCCAGGCCCGAGGGCAGAGCAGATGCCTGGGCCTGCCCTCCCCGCGCCCGTCCTGCCTGTCTCCGGCCGCCGCTGCCTCGCTGGTGCGAAAGCCTCCGACCAGCCGCCGCGAGCCTCCCGGGCTGCCGAGCATGCCCAGTCCGCGGGCCGAGCCAGCCCGGCTTCCCACGCGGCTGAATCCGCCCCTCCGGGTGTTCGCGGCGGCCGGGGGGCGGGCCAGGCCGGGCCGGCTGGGGCGGGGTTGCGGGGCGGGGCGGGGGGGGGGGGGGGGGGGGGGGGGGGGGGGGGGGGGGGGGTGGGGGGGTGCTGTGTCCTGGACCTAAAGGGATACGGGCCAGGCTACGCACCATTGGGCGACTGGGGTGTGGGCCCCTTTTATTTACTTTCCAGGAATGTGAAACTGGGGAGAGAGGAAGACAGGCGCGTTTAATAAGAAAGGCGCAGGCTGCACGGTCTTAGGAAGCCGCCAAGGGAGGCCAGACGGGAGCGAGATTTCACTGTGGTCCCGGGAAATAAACCATTCGTGGTGCAGCTGGAGCGAGTCTGAGGGCAGGGAATGCAAACTCAGCATTCGAGAAGCCAGACTCGGGGCCTAGTTTGCAAACGACACTTGCATCTTCTTCCCTACCGAGCCCAAGCGTCATTTATGGTTAACTCCTGATTGATCACTCCTACAGTCGGACCTCAAATTCTTAGGCCTATTTTCAAACCCCTGTCCACAAACACCCTCTTACTCCTCCAAAAGTAACAGAACTGCCCAGGTTGCAAACTCCAAGTCCTGCCGGCGCGGAGGAGGCCCGAGGAGCTCTAACCAGAGCGGGAAAAACTCGGGGCGCGTAAGGAAGTCCCGCCGCGTCCCCTTAGGGCCTCAACTCCTGGGCCGCGGCGAAAACCCGGAGAGCGCCGGGCGTGAGGACTGCGCATGCCTACTCTCCCGGCCGGGTGCGCGTCGCCCTAGGGAAGGCTAATCTCTGCTCCGCTCCCAGGTCCCCGGCTCCCTGGTCAGGGGCGGCGGCGAAGATGGCTGGTCTCCCGGGCCGGCCCGCACAGCACCTCTGTGGCCTGAGGCTGAGCTGACTCCAAGGGGTCGGAGACTCGCGGGCGAGGGAGGGGGCGTGAGGCGGTACCGGGGGGACACGTGACTGTCCTCGGCGCACTGGGCAGCCATCTTCGTCCGGCCAGCGGACCGCGGGCGGTCGGAACTGATCCCGGAGCCAGCAGCGGATGCTTCCTCCCCCGCCACACCCTCGCCTGGGCTGAGGCCTCCACTGGCCTCCGCCTCTGCCCCGCCCAACCCCGGGGGCCCGAGTCGCCGCGCCCAAAGGACGGGCTGTCGCCCGGCCACCGGCTAACGGACGCGGACTCAGCGCGGCAGAGCTCCGGCGGCAATGGCCTCTGCCTCTCCCCAGGGGCGGATGTTGGAGAGAAGGGTTCCCTTTCTTTAGGCAGCGACACTGCTGCTCCTGCCGCCTCCCTTTCTAACCTGTTCCCCGGCGAAGAGGCACGAGGTCCGGAAGGTCCCGATCGAGGCCATCGCTCCTCCCTGCGCGCTGTACCCGGGCGCCTGGCGTGATGATGTTGGCAGTGAACATTTATTGCGCTCCCTTCTCGAGTCACTTGGGTACCTGTTATTTCAAGATCAGCTGCCTCCCCATCACCCGAGAATTTTCAGCCCCACCTAGACCTACAGAATCGGAAACGTTTGAGGGTGGGACCCTAAAATAGGTTAAGCCTCCGGTGGTCTGAGGGACGCTTTGCTTCTTTATTTTAACTAAGCCTTACGGTGACATATCTTCATGTGAGGCCCTGAAAATTTTAAATGTCGTCTGCCTCAAACCACAGTGAAGAGTGAGGGATTCAGAACGAAGCGGTCTGCCCCAGTGCAGATTTTTGTCGCGCCCCTCTACTCCACTATTGTGGCTTTTTCACCCTGAGGACTCTGCTCTTCTCAGGGCCATTAGGAAAAAGTGCATTTGTCACGTATGGATTTAAAATAACTGAGATTCAGCTCAACGACGGGTTCTGGGTGTCCACCGAGACCAAAGGTCTGTGAGTCATAGTAGCCCTGCTGGGTATTTTCATCAGTTTACACCCAAAAGGTGAAAGAAGTCTTGCTTTCTTGTGACTTAAATTTTTTCAAACTAAGAAAGTGCCAGAAACTGCTACCTATTTTCTCTTCAGTGATAACTGTAATAGAATGTGCTGTATGCTTTAAGACTTCCTGAAAATAAAAACCAACTCGACACCTGATGTACACATTTCAAAGAGACTAATTTGATGCCCCCACGTAAGGATAAGTTGGATTTGCAAAATACTGGTAGTTCTTGAATCTAAGTGGTGTGTCTAGCATGCTCACTATATTTTTTCCTAAATTTCTTTGTTTGAAATGTTTTCTATAAAACACTTTATGAATAGTTTTCCATGAGTAATTTTAGAATAATATATAACAGGAAAGAGCAGGGTATAAAAATGTTTCAATTTTGTAAAAAAAAGAACCTGAGAAAAAATAATAGACCATACATAAAAAGATACCCATACACAGGAAGAAATCTACAGGTAAATCATAAGAGCAGAAAAAGTAAATTCTGAGTGAACTTTTATAAGAAACACTTAAAGAGTTGGCTCTTCTTTAGTTACAATCCTTAAGTCACCACTATTTGTAACTAAAAATTATTTAACAAAAATTCTTCATCTCCAGTCCACTGACTCGTAATTTTACCAGTGCATTTTTTCATAACTTAATAAGTAGCATTTTGATTGCGTGTAAATATTTAGGATTTTTAGGTACTTAGAGTATCATAGATTACATTGCTGTCAGGAAAAGAAAGAAACAAAAACTGAATCCCAAGTCACGATATGTCGTTAAAATATATTAAAAATATAGAACAAATACTGAGACAACACTTATTTGCCAAGTCAGCTATTCCAAAGTTGGTGATCTGGTCCTGAATAAATGACTCTTCTATCCAGACGAAGTAATCTACTTGATTAAAAATGAGATTTTATCTAGTAGACCTGTAATCAGCAAACCACCACTCACCAAGCCTTAGTCAAAGTTCAAATAGTGCTGAGGGAGCAAGGAGGCTTGTGTAGCCATGAAAATGTCTCAAAAGAATAATACAGGGCCACGAAGCCTGAGGGGCAGGAACAACTCGTCATAAGCTCACCTCAGCCCTTTCAGCTCATCTGGCCAATCCACACCCTTAATTCCAAACCAAAGCTGACCAGAAAAACTAGCTGCAGACAAGGCTGTTTCCAAATTCAGTATTTGCTGTGAGGCTCAGGTCTAGTGATAGCAACCCTCTATGTTCATTCCTGTGTCCCTGGCTAGGATTCCTGGCCACTATTGGCTTCTATTGGTCAATAAGAAACTGGAACATATTTGATAATAATGCAGCTGAGGCTCATGAAGAGATCAGAACCAGGAACTGGGGTATTGACAGGAACCCAGGAAGTCTCCCTCTGTCTGTTCTGTATTGTTTATTCTATTTCCTTGTGGTCCAGCTTTTCTGCCTTCAGTTCACATAAAAAAAAAAAAAAAACAACAACCACTTGATAGCTCTCAAGTTTTTCTCTTCCAGAAAGCAAGGACACTACCCATATTTAATAACTCTTCTGTCTGTTCCCTGATTCCCCTTGGCTACTTGAACCAATACTAATATTTCAAGATTCATCTTCATTTCCTTCCGGGGTTGTTGTTTTGGTTTGGTTTTTTTTTTTTTGGTACCGGGGATCAAACTCCGGTCTTTCAGCTTTCGAGGCAGGCAGCAGAATCACTGAGCTAAATCCCCGGCTCCTTCCGTTTTCACAAAAACTTATCTTCCTCTCTGGACACAGAAGCCTCCTATACAAATATTTGACACTTTTTTATGCTTTATGCTGTCTTTTACGCTGTACGTTTTTTGCAAGTAAAGCTTGACCCTCCAACTATACAGATGCTATGGAAAGGATATATATTGATCTTCAGTCTTTCAGAGTACTTAGCAAAAGGACTTGGAACCAAGTGGCCCATACTGAACAGTTACTGAACTGTAATTTATGACTTCTACATTTACTTCTCTATCCTATTTTCTTCATTAAAAGGACAAAACATTAGAAATGGAAATGTCATTAGCAACAACCCTTTATATTTGGCCATGTACATTTTTAAAGGATTTTCAAATTAGACATTTATAACTAGTCACTAACCAGGATCTGATGAATCGGTGCCATCAACATAACACTGTGCTACCTGGCAGACATGGCATCATTGTCAACACTGTCATTTATTTCTAGCTCTACAAATAATATGTAACTCCAGGCAAGTTTAATTATAGCCTTTTAAAATGAGAATAATACACTCACCCCCTCTTTGCTTCCCAAGAGTATCATGAAAATTAATTAGGTCTTTTTAATATAAATATATGTCTATAAAATTTTTATAGGCAATTAGAGATAAACATATAAAAACAGGAAGTGTTGTTCCGTGTATTATGAATATTTATTGTATTTAGCAATCAGCTTCCAAGGGCAAATATTTCAGCAGTAGCAATAGTACACAAAATAATGGATACATGTTTTACCCCTCAATTACCATTACAGACAAGTCCTGGATGGACAGAACTAGTTGGAAGGCTGAGACAAAAATCATATCTCCTGCTCTAAAGGAAGACAGAGTTACATAGTGTAATCACCTGAATTTTATAGTTCTGGCATGAAGTCTTAAAAGGCCTCAAATCTAGGCCATCCTGCAAGGAGAACAGCAGCAAGTCAGGACTGGCATTATTTCTGACATTTCTTTATTTTGTAACATTTTGAAGGAGGAAAGTTGTTCCACCAGTTCCTTTACAGAATAGCATGCATGATACAATCTCTCCACCTCATTGGCATCTGGAAGAATAAGATACCAACACACTCCAGGACATGGCTGGAACAATTTCATGAAAGATTTGCTAAATCCTGTCCAGTAGAGTCTAGACTAGGGTTTCTCAAACTCACCTCTGTGGATATTTAGACCAGATAAGTCTTTGTTATGTAGGGCCGTCTTGAGGATCATAGGATGTTTAGCAGCATCCTTGGCTTCAGCCAGCTAGATGCCAGAAGTATCCCCTCATCACTTGTAGCAGCCAAAAGCATCTCCAAGATGTTGCTACATGACCCCTGGAAA